CAAGCGTTTCCTAGCAACGACAACTGCGCTAAACACTGAGACAAGAAATAAATACACTTACAAGCTGCTTTTAACTTCTGCTGATTGACTGCTTCTCACAAAGACTATTTCTTTACACTGTTTTGATTTTCAAAAAGTTTTTTTTTTTTTTTGCTTCAAACCACAGTTGTTACTGCTGTGATTCACCTCATAGCTGGTTGGCTTGGTTCATGGCTTATAGCGCTTAAACGACTTTTATTTGTCTATTTAAATAATATTTCACAATATTTATTTATTTAATATATAATACAAGCAGCCTTGGTGGGCATAAAATACTTTGTTCTAAAACATTTAAAAATCTTACCGATCCCAGTGTGAGATTTGCAAGCTTTAGCACACTTAAGATTACAATTAAAATCTAAGTCTGAAATGATTGCATTGTTGTGTAGATGCTAGGTCTCTAGTTATTGACCCAAGTCTAAAGAGCTGACCTCCTAAGTCTTGTGTTTTGGTCTCTAGGTATGGCTCAGTGTAAGTCTATCGGTTCTTATGCGTGTTTTATCAAAGGCGAAACTCGTAAGTCTGATGGCTAGTTATGCGTCACAGCTTGGTGCTTTGCGTTATGGGTTTTATTCAGATCTCTAAATATGGGCAATAGTAATCGTGATGCTTGACTTAGGTTTGGAAGACTCATTGTTTAGAAGACTCATAGCTAGAAATGTGTGGCGTATGGCTGACCTGTGTTTTCTATTGCTTTTCAGAGAGCACATTTCCGGGGGACTTTCCCGTTCCTCCACCATACAGCGTTGCCACGTCTCTGCCCACTTACGATGAGGCAGAGAAGGCCAAAGCGGCAGCCATGGCTGTCTCAGCGGTGGAGGTCATTCCACGAGTGAGTATCTCATCGGCCTACGCACCCACACGTTCTGCAGAACCAAACGCCAAGCCCTCGATTCGCATAACTTTCCACTGCAGCTTCGGTACAGTCCAAAAAATTCCCTCAAAGGAAATAAATTGCTGTAGTAATGCTGCTATGATTTAATGATGACCAAAATGAAATGGGACATCTCTTAAAATCATGTGTGATTAGCTTTTAGCAGTAACGTAAGGAGAGCCTTTTTGAGGATGTGGTGTGCCATAAAAGCCATGACCTAGAAAGAGAATCCCACAGATACTCTGATTTCTCCGAGCTCAGATGAAGAAGTCTTATGTAATGTGGCCCCAAAAAGTATTTGGTCACTCTTAAGATGGTCTGAATGTCATCGCGTTAGATAACAGAATCACAAACCAACTGGCATCTGTAAACAAATGAACTAACTTCCTTTTTCTGAGCCTCTTTTGCAGTGACCTCCACACAGCAATGTGGTTTCTATATTTGAAATGGTGTACTAAATTACTACTTACTGAATACTGTGACTTACCAAAAAAATCAATAAAATAAAGCTGTATTTTCAGCAGCTATTGGTGTCATCCTTCAGAAATCGTTCTAATATGCTGACTTGCTGTCCAAGAAACATTTATTACAATTATTAATGTTGAAAACGGTTGTTCTGCTTCATATATTTGTGGAAACCCTGATACACTACCACTCAAATGTTTGCGATAAGTAAGGAAGTATTAAAATAGAAATTAATACTTTTGTCAGGACACATTATTGATAATAAGGGACAGTAAAAACATTTATAACGTTACAAAAGATTTCTGTTTTAAATAAATGCCATTCTTTTAAACTTTGTATTCATCGAGTAACGTATCACAGAAATATTAAGCAGCAAAAACGGTAAGAACCATAACTAAACACTAATAATGATGAATAATAATTGAGCAGCAAATCAGCATATTAGAATGATTTTCTAATGAAGGATCATGTGACACTGAAGAGTGGAGTAATGATGCTGAAAATGACGTTTGTGCACAGCCAGCCTTGTACTCTTCTAGGTTCAAAAAACTGTCGTCCATAAAATGCGTTGCACAAATTCGAACATCTGGGTTGTGCTGTTCTGTTGTAAATAAATCTTAACCAATGAATTCTAATTGCATCTACTTCCGGAAGGCCAAATAAAGTGCTTTTGCTTTCGCACTGAAACACACACAGTCTCCCTGACATGGCTGCATCAACACTACTGCTGTTCCTGAAACCACGCCTTCTTTCTTTGCGTGCACATTTGGGTGGCATTATGCTAATATTTCCACATAGTGACGTAGGCATGTGGGGGCGTGTTAGAACGAGCCGTTTTAGGTAGGCGTGGCTGACTCTTAACTTTTATAAAGAATATCTCTTTGGATTTGAGACTTTAGTCTTTGCAACTTTACAGATCTTCTTTATGCACCAAGAGCTTGTAACACTCCAAAGAGAAAGGAAAACTTGAAATCGCATCATATGACCCCTTTAAAATATATTCAAATAGAAAACTGTATTTCATATTATATTTCACAATATTACATTTTTTACTATATTGTTGATCAAATAAATGAAGCCTTGGTGACTTCTTTCAACATTTAAAATATTTCAATTATTATAAACTTTTATTTATTTATTTGAAACTTGCTTCATCCTGCAATTGCAAATTGAGGACATTCAGAGAGAGAGAGAGAGAGAGCAAGCACACAATGCTGGAGCTCTGTTATGAAATCACTTCAGAAACAAAGAATGAATTAGAGCATTGTTCAAGACTTTTACTTGTTATACAACCTCAGCAGCTCTGTTGTGAGTATCTGCGGTATCAGTGTGGAGCCGGGCTGGGTTACCAAAGGCGTAGGCTGGATCATAAAGGAGCAGTTCACACAAAAATGAAAATTTGCCATTTTCTCAGCCTCGTGTCATTCCAAACCCATGGAACACAAACATGTTGTGCAGAAAGTTGATGCTGTGCAAAAGTGAAATCATACAGTGAAAGTGAATGGTTACAGAGCAGTCCAGTTCAAAAACTTGCCAGTAGTAGTCCTGCAGTCAAATGTTGTTTGTTGAAAAGACAGACATCTTTTTTTTTAGATGCTGCACTTACTTATGTCAGAGCCAAATGATGAATAATGTTAAAGGGATAGTTCACCAAAAAATTCAAATTCTGTACAAAATTGTACCTGCTATAAGTAAATGACTTTGTGAGTGGCTAACATCTTTGTATCTAGTACACTGTTGTTTATGTAGCTGGTGCAGTTGCTGATGTGCAAACATTGAGGCTGCATCAATTCTGAGCCAGTTTATGTTGCTTCCTAAATGTTTCTCTGTATTCATCTTCTTGTTAAAAAGGATGAGGATTTTCCGGTTCGGGATGACTTCAGTGACGCTGATCAGCTGAGGGTGGGAAATGATGGAATCTTTATGCTGGCTTTTTTCAGTAAGTAATGCAGAATGCTTATGTTTTATACACGCATGTGCATGATTAGAATAGTACACTATTATAATCATACTAAATTGCATTACATTTTTACCTAAAACTGGATAGAAAATGCAAAATAACTATTTATTTACAAAATGACTAGACTGAATTAAATGTGCAATTTACTAAGGTTTCATCAACCTTTTATGCATATGACCAGTTAAAGATTTAGCATTTCATAATGCATACTGCTCAACATACTTATGCATATTACAGTATATACTGTGTGTGTAGTGTGCAAGTGAACTAGTATGCCATTAGAAACATTGGCTACATCTGAAATCACATATTCTCTTGAGGAGCTATTACTCTGCAACCGCTTTGGTCTATATTGTATGTGTGTAGTATGAATATAATCTGGACATACTATGTTTGCCTTGTTGTCATTATCATGTGACCTATCGGTGTCAGTTGCATGGCTTCACTGCGGTGGCCTCATAGGATAGTAAAGTGTCCATCTTATGTACACTTCAGAATCTCGCTGGAAGTAGTAGGTCGTCCGGGTACTTTTTTTCATACTCATTTATGTGTACTGTGAATTACGACATACTACTTTTGTCAAACACTGTTTTTTCACCTACTATATAGTAGAAATGTATGTGATTTCAGATGCAGTCACAGCCTCTGCGTGATTGTTTGTCATTGCATGTTGATTTCCTCAATCAGTGCTGTGTGCGCACCATCTGGTGGTGTTGGGATGTATTGCAATTCAAGTATTTCTATACACAGCTGTCAGTCAGAAGTATAACACAGTGGTTCCCAACCCTGGTCCTGGAGGCACCCCAACGCTGCACATTTTGCATGTCTTCTTTTCTCTGACACATCAATTTCAGATCTTGAAGTCTCTACTAATGAGTTAATGACCTGAATCAGGTGTGTTTGATTAAGGAGACATGCAAAGCGTGCATTGTTGGGGTGTCTCCAGGACCAGAGTTGGGAACCACTGGTATAACACATTGCAGTGCAGTCGATCATAGTCCAGTCATGTTTAATAAATGATTAGTCATGCTTTCATTAACAATGCATCCCCATCTTTGGGACATACGCAAGCAGTTTTTTCAAGATGGTCTGCACATAAAAATACAGAATAGTTACTGAAGATATTTACATGTACTTTAAAATACAGTCATTCTTCATTAATGCATTATTCTCTCTCTTTTTGTGTAACCAGTGGCCTTTCTGTTCAACTGGATTGGGTTTTGCTTGTCTTTCTGTTTGACCAACACCATTGCTGGCCGATATGGTGCCATCTGTGGCTTTGGCCTCTCTCTTATCAAATGGATCCTCATTGTGAGGGTGAGTCTCTAAGTAATGAATCGATTAACTCAAAACCCACACAGGAGGATACAAAAACTCAGGGGTTATCTTTGAGTGAGTGGAACATTGTGTTATGAATGTGAATTTAATCATTATTAAACTCGATGCTCAATGGTCTTTACAGTTTTCAGATTACTTTACTGGATACTTCAATGGGCAGTACTGGCTCTGGTGGATTTTCCTTGTTCTTGGTAAGTTGTTTTCATGTTATATTAAGTAGGACTTTTATAGTTTGATGATCTGATAATAGCTGAATGAGTGTTAAAGGGATAGTTCAACCAAAAATGAAACATTTGTCATTATTTACTCACCATCAAGTTGTTACAGACCTGTGCAACTTTCTTCTGTTAAACTCAAAAGAAGACATTTTCAATAATGTTGGTAATCGAGCAGGTAGCTATTGACTTCCATGGTATTTTTGGCATAGTATGCAAGTGTTTGGTTACCAGTGCTATTTAAATATCTTCTTTTGTGCTCACCGGAGAAAAGAAACCCCCTACAGGTTTGGCACAACTTGAGGGTGAGTAAACGATGACAGAATTTTAATTGTTTGGGTGAACTATCACTCTAAAATAGTTATTGAGAAGTTTTTGTCATTCATCTGCAGTACTCTAGCGCCACCTGCTGGTTGACTGACTACATGACGACATTAATCAAAATGCACTTCCAAATACATGGTCTTTCATTAATAAATGCATTATGACCTAAATGCATTTTGTTAATTAGAGTAGATCATATTAATGAACAATAATCTTGAGGGCTTTGAGGCTTTTGGAAAATTTGGAAATCTTGTAATTGTGTGAAATAATATGGCTGCAGTAACCTAAATACTGCAATATATTCACTTCGGGACTTTTGAATTAGTCCGGTTTGCTAAGATCAGCTAGGTGTACTATTACTTTTCTTTTTCTGTTGTCTGATGGATGTGAGTGGGAAGCGCCCCTCACATTTTCTTTAGAGCATCTAGTTATTGACCTATGACCTGTCTGTCATGCACTCCAGGACTCCTGCTGTTCTTCAGAGGGTTCGTGAACTACCTGAAAGTGCGTAACATGTCAGAAAGCATGGTGTCTTCACTCCGAACCCGCTTCTTCCTCCTGTACTAGAGGTGAGGATGGCATCGCACACACGGGAACAAACCAAAATCGTGATTCTGTCAATAATAGAGGTGTAATTATTTACCCATGTCCCATTCTTTTCAAAATGATGCAACAACTTTTACAACAGAAAACTGGTCAAGAATTGTATATAGGAAAGAAATGACAGCGCAATTGATTAGGTTTTGTTATATTAATTATACCTGATTATTAAAGGTGCGTTGCAATCTTTGCAAACCAAATAGCAAAAACAACTTTTTCATAGATCTCAGTGTGTGTAGTTGCTCTCAAATCACTTAATAAAAGGGTAATTTTATTCATTTATTTATTTAAATCTTTGTTTTATTTTTTTACAAATACAAAGGTTTTTTTTTTTTAAAGGGATAATTCACCCAAAAATGAAAATTTGCTGTTTATCTGCTTACCCCCAGGGCATCCAAGATGTAGGTGACTTTGTTTCTTCAGCAGAACACAAACGAAGATTTTGAACTCAAACCGTTGCAGTCTGTCAGTCATATAATGCAAGTGGATGGGAATCACGGCTTTGAGAGTCAAAAAAAACTCTGATTTTCACCGCAATGTCCGAACTGTCCAGAGTGCATCCTGAGCGCGTTCAACAGCCGGCGCCTGACGCGTCTTCTTGCTTTACGGCGGATCGCAGACTTATAAGTGCATTACCGCCACCTATCTCTCAAATGGACCATTGACACTCTATCTAAAATCTCAGTTAGGAGTGTCAGTGGTCCATTTGAGAGATATGTTGAGAACGCACTCAGGACAGTTCGGACATTGCAGTAAATCAGAGGTAAAAAACGATATAAATACAGTTCAGTTTCTTGCACAGACCGATCGTTTTGTGTCTTTACACATCAATGTATCGTCACGAGCTGCAGGGTTTAATTTGGTTTTGTTTGTGTATGTTTTTTTTGACTCTCAAAGCCGTGGTTCCCATCCACTTGCATTATATGACTGACAGACTGCAACGGTTTGACTTAAAAATCTCCGTTTGTGTTCTGCTGAAGAAACAAAGTCACCTACATCTTTGATGCCCTGGGGGTAAGCAGATAAACATCAAATTTTCATTTTTGTGTGAACTATCCCTTTAAGTCTTTCCCCTATCAGCCATTGTTCTGTCAAAACAGAAATGCATTTTTTTTTAAAAATTGTGCATGCATATGCATTAAAAGATTGTGAAGTTATGAAATTATTTGCGAATTCCATTATACTTTAATGCAAGAATTGCATTTTCTATGCTATGATACCAGTCTATAGATTGGTTTGATTGATGAACCAGCATGCACTCTTATGTTTCTACTGTTACAGAAGTATCTGACTTGTTTTTGCTAAATGTGGTTAATTATTTGGCTGCTCTTACTCAAGACTTCAACTCGACACTTACTCAATCGCTTTATTTTATTTATTTATTTTTGTTTTTGCGGTGAACCTAATTACTGTGGCTGTCATGTTATTTGTTGAAGGAACACTTCCTTTCTGGTCAGGAATTACCCAATATGCACAATAACCAAGCAGGTTAAACATGTGCATTTAAATCATTCTGGGAAATGACATGTGACTAGGACTGGGCGATATAGCCAAAAAATGATCTTTTGATATTCGAGAAATGTCATATATGTTACCTCAATGTGTATGTTGTTGGTCTCAAATGACTGAACAAAATGTAATTTTATTTATTCATTTTTTTAGTCTGTCTTTGTGAAAAGCGAACCAATATTTCTCATAAACTAGACTAACATATTTGTTTTACCATTTTTATAATAACTTTGATAGCAGGATTGAATGTTTGTACTTGACTTGTGCAGTCGAAACTACAATTTGTGTAAAATTTCAAAAGATTATTGTGCTAACATATGATTATTTACTGCAAAGTTTGCAATTTTATGATTTTGTGCAGCGATAGAGTTGCATGCAAAATGTGGGATGCAGATAAATATAATGTGTTTGGTCATTAAAAATTAACATTTTTATTACAGTTAGTTGAATATAAGTTTATAATGGCATTGTGGTATAGTTTAAAAAACCTCTTGGGACAGACCAAAATGACCATTTTAAGGGGGGACTTTTGTTTAAAACTAGTCACTTTTCATGCAAAGTTATTTCTACATTAGAATGTAGTTTGTCTAAGTAATAGGTCTCACAATAAAATAACATGAGATTTGTGTCTTTAAAAAAAGAAGTACGTTTACAGTACGTTTTACCCTATGGTGGAGGAACCTTTTAGTGGCATTTTTCTTGGCTTGAATTTGTTCCAGAACAACACAAGAACTGATTTTGCTTTTGTTCACTTGGCCACGCAAGCCGGATGTAATTTGCTTCATTGATAATGGCTCTCATAACCTTGCTTATATGGAGTTTGCACAATGAAGGCCATGGTGGCAGACCTCCAAAAAACAAGCTTCGCTCTCATTCACTCTGTCTCTTTCAAGGTCGCCTCACCAAAACATTCCTTCCTAATGTGAAATTCCTTGATGATTTGCAACCCATTAAATGAACTGGACTGGATCCCACTGAGGGGAAGAGGAAGAAGAGAAAAAATAAAACCAGTATCTCTGCCAAACGTTCTGAACTGAACTCGGTAAAAGCGGAAGGTTTTTCTGCGCTCTGAACGAGTGCAAATCGGCTCCAGTTTTCACATCGTAACTCCAAGTTGGCCTCAGCCCATAAACTTCTGGTTGATTACTAGATTCGGACAAGACAAAAAAGTCCCTTTACGGTTTATCTTTCCACACACTGCATGCGGAGTAATGAATTTGTGTACTTGGGTCGGAAGAACTGCAAAAGATCACTAGAAATATGCAGCCAAGACATCCTATGCACTGTCTTTTACCAAACTGGGTTAGCAGTCTTAAACAGATGAAACTAGACTAGTTTAATTCTCTTTGCTTCGTTGCATCCAAGGCCTTGGCAAATTTGATTGCATTGCAGTATTAATATACCAAGTTTAGACAGAATTTGACACGTAACTTTAGCTAACGGCGATGTAAAGTACAGTTGCACAGTTTCTCTTCTTCTTAAGTTGTGTCTCGCTTAACTTAATAGTAAATGATTAAGAAACTTCATTGATGTGTTTCAAACTGGAAATGGAATTTGTACTTATCCTAAAATATATATTTGCCTTTTGCACCTTCATTTTTTCCCCTCTTTTTATAGGTTGTTTTAAGTTGTGACTTTGCTCAAGCTGTGACCTGCCTAGATGACTTTAGTTACTTGAATGCCTGAATGCAACTGTCATTTGTTTCTATTAATCACAAGCCTCTTTAGCAATATCGGATATTAAAAGAAATGCATGGTTAACTCGGTTACAGCAGTTTAAACGACTAATCCAGTAAACAAACAAAAAAAACTTGGGGGAAAAAAAAGGCAACTTACATTTATTAAATGTATGTAAAACAACCAACCAACTTTTGTTGGAATAATGATTTTGGATTTTCTCTGATTGGCAGAGATGATTGTGTGCTATGTTTATTCTCTTGTCTTGCATAATGCCAATAAAATTTGAACTCCCAGATACATTTCTTTGGAGCTTTTGTTTCAAGTTAACAAGCATTCTTAACATGCATTTTCATCCCTAGCCATTATTTATGTCGTTTCAATCCAAAATGTCATGTGGAATATGGGTTGAGAGTGCCATTTCATGTTGACTTTATTCTCAATAAAAGTGATTTATTGAAGCTTTTATAATGCCACTGTAAATATGAGTATTTAATTCATTGGTTGGTTGGAAATTATACCAATTATTACACTTAAGAAGTAATAATATTTAAAACGTTAGTCCATATCCTTCTGCAATGCAGCATTTACAGAAAAGATGAGTAAATAGTAATTTTATAATTGCTCTTGTGATTTGTGATTGCTTATGTTATGTTATTTTTATTACAAATGAACTGCACCCTTACCATAATTTACCATAGTAAGCATAGTTTCTGCCAAAATGCTTTTGTTATTATTGTTCAGTAAAGCAATAGTTTATTCAGAATTATGACTGTGTTGCATTTTAATGACATTTCTGGTTAAAACCAAGTAACAAAAAGTGTAATAACAGCAACTATGATATTTTGTAGGAAAACTTTAGTTAATGTGATAAATTTAGCTTTCTCAAGCAAGTAGTGTAATGAACTAACCACTTTACGTGTTAGTTTAATACTTTGATATTCTATTCTATTTGATATTCTCAAAAAGCTATTCCTTCATCCCCACCACTTATAGTTTCTGCCAAAATGCTTTTGTTATTATTGTTCAGTAAAGCAATAGTTTATTCAGAATTATCACTGTGTTGCATTTTAATGACATTTCTGGTTAAAACCAAGTAACAAAAAGTGGAATAACAGCAACTATGATATTTTGTAGGAAAACTTTAGTTAATGTGATAAATTTAGCTTTCTCAAGCAAGTAGTGTAATGAACTAACCACTTTACGTGTTAGTTTAATACTTTGATATTCTATTCTATTTGATATTCTCAAAAAGCTATTCCTTCATCCCCACCACTGAGTGGCACTTGTTCCCTTCTACCCGTTTCCAAGTTCTCTCTCACACACACACACACACACACACACACAGACAGACAGAGTTTATTATTCTTAATAAACTTTTAATGAGTGACCAATTTACATAACGTCTTTCCGGTCGGCACATGGCACTACTGTTGTGGACTGCATTTTTCCAGTCCTTTCTTCTGGATGGATGGCTCACTGCTCACAATCATTCACAAATATGTACACACCATGGTACTGACAGATTACTATATTCACATAGCATTGATGTATGTAAACTATTTTAAGTCAAGGTCAGAAATGAAAAGGGGTTCAGGGCAAAACTGCACCAACAAAATAAATAAATGATTAAATGTTTTTTCCTTTAGTTAAATTTTGTTAGGTGTACATATTTTTATTTTCCAATTATTATTTATATTTAGTGATTTATTTTATTTATTTATTTGGAATGAATTATTTGATGTTCTTGAATAAAATATGCAAAATATTTGAGTGTATATAATTATGCAGAGACTTCCATCTAATTGAAATGTCTGAAGCAAAAGAGAGACATACAATGTGTTTATATGGTTAGAAATATTACTCCCAATGAAAAGTTAATTTCTCTAAGGTAGGTCAAATAATATAATGGTACTGCTGTTTAAAGAAATATGCTGTTATCTTGATGCCACATCCAAAATCCAATAGTATCATTAGTTGATTTTTTTTTTTATTAATGCCTCTGTTTATTTCCCCCTAGCAGGAGCAATACAGAGCAAATCCTGTCACATGTATCCAATAAAAAAGAGGGAGAATGAATGTATGTATGAACTGCAGTGTGTGTGTGTGTGTGTGTGTGTCAGAAAGCGCAAGGGCCATGCTGACAATTGCTGTCGGCAGCATTTTCAGGGGTTTTTTTTGTTCCTGGCCACGTCTAAAACGAGTAATGCACCCACTGGCCTCTCCTCCTCCTCCTCCTCCTCCTCCTCCCCCTCCTTGAGGCTTTCCGGCCCAGCGGGTAAATAGTGGCTCTCTTAAGCTCCGGCACACCTCCACTCACTCCTCAGCATACACAGGTACGGATAGGAATGTCAGGGGCTGGGTCTCAACCTGCACTCACAGCCTGCACGTTTTTTTTCCTCTATTCACTCTGAATTGCTGGGCATTAACACTGTAGAGATATGCAACAAAACAAAATTAACAAATCTATCTAGTTTGGTCACATTGCACACTTTATTTATAGTGTAGATGCATTGTAAGATGACTCCCACTCTACACTGCAATTGCAATGCAGACAGATTCATTGATTAAAAAAAAAAAAAGGCAATCCCATAGAAAATTTTAACACATGGTTGTTTGCTCTCATAGGGTTAACGGATGTTCAAAGTGACTTATAGCTACAAACTGACCAAGTCATTAGTTTTGCATGAGCGTTGTCAAGGCATTCATTCGTGCAGATTTGTCACATCTCTCCCCTTTAGTCAAGACAGTGGTTTATGTGCATTCATGCAGAAAATTAATTGCTGTGAAGTTGGTTGCCATCAAGCAAAGCTACTCGCTCTCATTGGTAGTTGCTGCCTTGTAATGCTGCTCATTTGCATAAAGTAAAATAAAAATGCCCTTTTAAAAATTATATTTATTTGAGTATGTATCGTTTTTCTTCCATAAAATATGTAAAATATTACATACTTTACTTGCTCTTATTGGTAGTTGCTGCATTGTAATGCTGGTTATGTGCATAAAAAAAAACAAAAAAAACACTTGTCCCTTTTAGACTTGCACTCTATTCATTTGCTGCTTGTTTTCTTTAATAAAAAAACACTTGCTTTCTAATCTTTTTGTATTCTATCTGTTTTCTTTTCATTTATTACACAATTAACAAAAGCAAAAAGACCTCTAACACTAGCTTGCTCTATTCTTTTTCTATTCTATCTGTCGCTTTGGATAAAAGCATCTGCTAAATGACTAAAAGTAATACTGCATAAACAGTGAAATCACTCAGTGATGCTGGACTAAATATCCACACTATGAACGCTGCTCAGAAATCCAGTTCACCTGTTGTATAATATATGGTTCATGTTTTAAATTGAAATCATCATGTGTGTATGATGTTAGTATATCGTTGCTCTTTTGTTGATTTTGATTGCTTCTATTGTCCTCATTTGTAAGTCGCTTTGGATAAAAGCGTCTGCTAAATGACTAAATGTAAATAAAAATAAAAACATGAAAAAAGAAAAATGACAATTTAAAAAATAATATTTTTAACAATTATTTATATTTATTCATAAAAGTAAAAAAGCCACCAACATGACTTTGATTAATTCCTTTTTTAATATATATTTTTATAAATATATTTATTTATTTTTTATGTTTCTCCATAAACAAGCAAAATATTACATATTGCATAAAATTAGTTGATGTTGAATTTATTGGCAACAACCTATTATGCAGATTTAGGCTTCATTTTAATAAGAAGGAGAGATAAAAATGTGTTTTTATGGTTAGAAACATGTCCCCTTAGTATAAAGTTAATTTCTGACTTCAAAGAATATCATGTATAAAATATATATAAAACATATATGAACACTAATGTTGATTGACTTTTAAGTGTAACTACCTGCTGTCATTGGTTGCTGCATTTTAATGCTGCTTTTTTGCATAACATTTAAAAAAAATTACAGAAATGCTATTTTTTTTATTTTTTTATATCTATTTGATTATTTAATTTTGTTGTTGTTGCATAAAACATTTTTTTATTTAAAGGCATAGTTCACTAAATATTAAAAAATTATAATAATTTTGAGTGAACTATCCCTTTAAGGCAAGCCTCTCGTTCTCTCTCTCTCTCTCTCTTTGTGTGTGTGTGTGTGTGTGTGTGTGTGTGTGTGTGTGTG